GCCGTTGGCCCTTAAATACGCTACCACCAATACGGGGCGGCACTCTGCTGCTGGGGACAGGAGATTCTGCGGCTGGAGACACGGGACTCTGCTACCCTAGACGAGAGACCTTTTGTCGGTCGGAACGAGAACGACGAGAGAACACGCTGCTGACGGACGAGCTGCGGACACTACCGAGCTGCACAAGAGGACAAACTGCCGGACACACAGAAGGCAGAGTTGATGTTGAAGCAGAAACAGTATAGTAAACCATCCTCTGCCATCCCTTCCTAACATATGAATGTATGGTATATCCAGTGCCGACGCAGGCACATCCAAGGTTATAACATTCATATTTTAGTCTAACTCACCTGCATGACAAGACAACTCGTTTGAATTTTAAAGCGAGCTTTATGGTCTCCGAATGTCCGGCTAAAAATAACAGAATACTTAGGTATTCCCTCTTGGGCTTAAACCCAACTCAGAGTGAATCGATCATTATTAATCCTAATTCATGCGGACAGAGGACTTTTTAGTACAAAGTAAACTGATGAGCAGCCGACCCCTTACTCACTGTGGGGAATGTGTATCTATGATGGCTAGTCACGACTAAATTATACCAACGGTTTGGATTAGTTTGCAGCGTACGAGACTTCTCATATAGATTTTGGCTTCTGGATATTCGAGGACGTTAGATTGTCTGAAGCAGTTTTAAATGGGATGTCACCACCAGAAAGCGTAACCACCGAACCAGGAGCACTGTCAACGGGGGAGAAAATATAAGATTAACTCCAAGGGGGGGATATTGTGAGCCGAAAAGGACGAGAAACAAGAATGAGATAGATTGACAGAGAGACCATTGTACACAGGATTCTTTTATATATGAAACACGAGGTCAAGATGTAAGTTACTGGGCGGCAGTGGCAGTGGCGGCACCAATCATTGTCCCCAAACTGCTCTGAACCACAAGAAGCCCATCTCTCCACTCGTGGAGGGTTTTAGCGAGACTACGCCACTGGGAGGGACCAAAATTACGCGGAAGGGCACTGGTGATCAGAATACGGCGATTGATTTGATCCAGTTTGCAGGTGATCACTTTTTGGCGGACAGCTAGAAGAAAGGGGAGGAAGACAAAGCACTCATAATTACTCTATCTTACTGATCATACTATACTATTAAATATCGGGAGTCGGAGAATTAGTGCATTAGCACCCCCCAGAATACGAGTCTAATGTCACGGGTTACCATTCCGACCGAGGCAAAGACCGCAAAAAGCAGTAAATATATAATCGGACAAAAAAAGCATGAAGTGCAAGCCGAATTAAGGTTTTGCTCATTGTGCTCCAAAAAATCAACTCATGCACGGCTCGGACAGTAGTGCAGCAGTGTAAAATAAAGCTAGGTTCTGAAAAGGTATCCAGTGACAAAGAGACTTTCATATCGTAGTTTGTTTCCAGACCGTAAACTTGCGAATGGCGCAGACTCATTCAACCTTTAGTCAGCAAGAGGCACGAATTTCAGTAAAGACACCAAAAGCCAGATTACTTAAAAATGTGCATGGTCCTGAATGTGAAGCGAAAGCCCATTGTGGGCCATTAAGCAAGCTAGCGGTTAGGAAATCTATCACAAGTAAACCGATCACCCAGTCCATTAGACATGATAAGCCGTCGTTAAAATAGCCTGAGGTTAATGATAGGCCTATTAGGAAGACATCTGGGGTGATTACAGGGGCAACGCAAAATCATTTGTAAGCCAGCTTATGCCTTGTTATGATAACCACATTCCATGAGCTTAGAACCAAAGTAACAATTCAGTTAAGTACTCCTAAAAGTACTCTAGTACTTGAACGACAGCAAACTGCCGAAAAGTGGCAGTTTCACATTCTTGTTTACACATTGGGGTATTAATCCGCACTTATGATTAGCAACTAACGAGAAGCAGGATAATCGGAGCTTGGTACCGATTCATTGTAGGGGGAGGGGGGGATAACTGTCCTACTTAGGGCTGTGAGTAGTATGAATGATTTGGCTGACTAAGAGCGCTAGATTACTTGCGTATCAAATGACGCTGGTCGTTACAGTAGGACACTTTTTTCACCCCAGAGAGCCGATGTCATTCAGGCACTAATTTAGGATCCAGCCTAGTCATTTGGGTATAACGTCACCAGCTCGAACAAGGCCCGACATTAGGACATAACACATTGTTGTCCAATTAATAATGGCTCTGCCGACAAAGTGCTGGACCACATGGGGACTATACTGTTTATGGATCCGAGGCAATATCTGAGTCGCCACGATTGTTTACGTATACCGTGCATCAGTTTGGTCTGCCTTTCTCTATAATTACGAATACTGAGCTATGCATGTGGAAGATGAACGAAAACGGGGGGTATTTGAGCAACACTATTTGAGGATAATGCTCCGAGTGAAGTACACCAACTTCTTCTCAAATGAAGGTCTGCACTCGGTGTGACAAAACCACAAAGATACACCTGATACACCTAAGGCCACCCAAGAAAGACGACTAAGGCAATCTGAACAAGTTATTTGTCGTTAACCTTATGAGCTCGATGTAATTGCCCTTGATCCGGCACCGCTACCCAATTTGAGGCGTCGAAGGGGTTAACTCAAAACCTGGCCCATCTCAGTCTGTCAGGAAAAGGAAGGTGTCTTAGATTTTCCGAATTCGGCCTCCGTCGTTGGTGCGGGGATTGGAGGCCAGGTTACAATAGTCTTTATGGCAGTCTAGCTTAAATGGAATCGGAGGTCCGCGAATGAATATGGGTACGTGAGGGGTTATACACCAGGCAGTACGTGTGA